GTACAAGCGCCCATCGCTTCTGGGGTGTAGTGGAACTACCCTTGTGCCGTGACGAGTGATGACATTCATAACCTTAAGCTATCACTGTCCTACTTGCTCTAAATCTTGAGTGCTTTTAATGCTGGTTTTATAACAAGACCTCACACAACCCATTTCCCCTAAACTGAACTCCTATAATCCTGTTAGTTACTATTCTCCCAGGCACTCAAATTCAAAATGTGGAATTCTCCAAATCCTCTACTTCTTCTCTCTCCCTCAAGCCCCATAAAATCCAATTCGTTACCACGTGCTGTGCAATTTTCTCTTCACAAGGTCTCACCATAGCTGGCTCTTCATTTCCATTTTCACTTCCTGTAGGCCAATCCAGGCCCTCGTTAACTCAGACCTGGATTACTCTGACAGCTTTTTACCTGGCCTCTGGCCCACCCTTATAAACCCTTCTTCATATCCCCAGTGGAGCAAACTTCATAATGCCCGTCTTTCATTGTGTTACTGTTCCTAAAAAGTCTCCATTAGATTTCATTAGCCCTTCCCTGTTTGGCTCTCCCCTACCTTTCCTTCCTTCTCTCACATAGCTCTCTGCTCTAGGCAAAGTGGTTCCCTCAACATACCTGCCATGTGTCTTCCATCCCTTGGTTGGGACCGCTTTCTCTACCTGCAATTTCCCTTTTTCTTCCTTTATGCCCATCCAAACACAGTACTATACATTATTAAAAGCCCAGACAAAGAGTCATAATCCCTTTGATACATTCTCTGATCTTTTCATATAGGAGAGAGCTCTTCTGTCTCAGGAGTCTTCTGTGTTGCTTGTTTTTTTTTCTTTTGCTAACTGTTTTTAGTTCCCAGCCTGAGGAACAGCCTACTTAAATAGGGAGGGTCTCCCCCCACACATATTGGCCACCAGGGCATGAACTTGTAAACCAAAGGACATCTCAAAGGTCATCTATCTATTTCCTAGGCAGAGGAGGAGGGTCACATCAATGAAATCATGAAGCAGTAAAATGGAAAATGTGGAATTCACTGGAAAAATGTGAGATTTACCATCAGAGCACCTGAGTTCAATTCTGGGCTTTTCCACTCTCCTGTAGATGTTGTCATTGTTAGGTCATTTCAGTTGTGTCTGACTCTTCATGATCCCATTTGGAATTTTCTTGGCAGAGATACTGGAAGACTTGCCATTTCCTTCTCCAGCTCATTTTACAGATGAGGAACTAAGGCAAACAAGGTTAAGTGACTTTCTCAAGGTCACACAGCTAGTAAGTGTCTGAGACCGGATTTGAATTCATGAAGATGATTCTTCCTGATTCCATGCCCAGTGTTTTATCCACTACACCACTTAGCTGCCCCCAAATATGAGGTTAGATTGTCTCATTGGGAGTTTCCTTTCATTGTCCAGTTTTGTTAGTTGTTCCTGACTCTTTGTGGCCCCATTTGGGGTTTTCTTGACAAAGATACTGGAGTGGTTTGCCATTTCCTTCTCCAGATCATTTTACAGATGAGAAAACTGAGGCAAATATGGTTAAGTGACTTGTCCAGGGTCATACAACTAGTAAATGTGTGAGGCCAGATTTGAACTCAGATCTTCCTACTCCTGGTCTGGTACTCAATCCACTGCATCACCTAGCTGCCTGTGAGTGTGATGTTGGACAATTTACTTTTTTCTGGGTCTCAGTTTCTCATCTGCAAAATGATGGAATTAGACTGATAGAACTCAGAGGGACTCTCTCTGCTTATAGGACTGGGACCTTCCCTTTAGCTTAGTCTTGGAGAACTTGGAGAATTGCCCAGGGCACAAGAGGTTAAATTGCCACCTCAGGGTCATGTACATATTAGGGCCAGGCTTTGAACCCAGGTCTACCTGACTCTGAGGCCAGCTCTTTACCCAAGCTACCACTCTGCTTCTAGAACCCAACTTAATCTGCTGGTCACTTTAACAAATCTGCACAAGGTGGCATTATTCAGTCTTGGCATAGAAATGGCCCCAAACAAATGTAAAGAGGCTTGACAGGTCAGGCAAGATGAGTGTTGGGGCCTCTGGAACTGTCCAGCAGGCTCCATTGCAACTGAATACCCATAGATGTCGGCACTCACTACTTTTGTTTCAGTCTGTATATAGGCTCTCAGGAAATAGGTTAATGTGCCAAGCAAAACACAACAGGTGCTTTATGCTGGTGTTGAAGATGTGTGCGATGTAGACACTGATGTGGAGGTCGTCGGAGGCTTCATAGCTCGATGCGTGAATGCAGAGCTCACTGCTAGACTTCCTGCACATCACCACGATGCATGTGGATTATCCAAGAACAATACCTTAATGAATGGACACCACCATGACTGCCCTCACACCAAACGACATGTGCATGTTAGGCATGGGCTGGTAGGACCAGAAATGCAGAATCTTAGATTCGGAAGTGACTCAGTGGCCACGTAGTCTAACCTGTACCTTAAAAAGCCTTCCTCCACTAACATGCAGGACACGCAGTTATCAAGCCTTTGGCTGAAACTCTCCAATGCAGAGAAGTCCCCCACCTTCCAGGGCAGCCCATTCAACTCTTGGACGGCTCTTACCGTTAAGGTTTTCTTGATATTAAGCCTTAGTTGGCCTCTTTGCCACCCCCTCCCCCCACCCCGTTGCTCCTGGTTCTTTCTATGGACAAATGAAAAAATGTCATCCTTCTTCTACGTGACAGCCCTCCAAATATTGGAAGGCAGCTCTCCTGTCCTTCTCAGCCTTCCTTTCTCCAGGTGAAACAAAAATACGATTCCTTTGACTGGTCCTGACATAGACCTACTCTTTGCTCACTCTTTTTGGACATTATCTGATTTGACAGTATCATCATGAAAACCACGGTGCCCAGAACTGAGCACAGTGCTACAAAGGGGGTCTCTGCTGCCTTCTTCCTGGGATCTCTGCCGCTCTCAGGGCAGCCCCTGAAGAGAAGAGTGAGACTTCTAATTCTCTTTCTCTGCCTGAGTTCTGAGCAGCACTGTGATGGCTGCTGATGCTCAGCAGAAGATAAATCCAGTTGTGCTTGTAAGAGGAACTAGTGGGGACTGAGGAAGAAGTCATTGGTAGGGAGGATGCTGCTTTAGCGGCTTCTTAGGAAGCCTCGAGAGAAAGCAACACCCCCGGGATGTCTGCAGCTCACCGAGCCTTGTTCTCCTCCACGCCCAAGGCCCTCCCTGCTGGGGAGTTAGGTGCCAAGGGAGAAGGATTTATTCTCTGGGCCACTAGGCTGCTAGTCCAAGTCTAGCAGCAGCACACAAGGCAGCTTCCCCATTTGCCATCCATGATATTGCCTCAAATACCCTGCAGATGGGCTGGGGCGATGGGGGCCATGGCGTGGACCAAACTGCTCATTTGTGCCTGTCGCCATGTTGGGGCACATAGCAGGTGTGTCTACATCGGGTGTCTGAGGGGACTTGGGGAAACCAGAGTCAACTTTTGGTGACTTTGGGCATTGGGGCATGGGTGGAGGGAGCTCCTTGTCAGGCACTGATGGCAGGGACCCATAAGTAAAGGGGAGACCATACAACCTGAGGTCCTGGAGCACAGGTGCCCACAACTACTCATATGGCCAGAGGGCATCAAGGCTGCAAGAGTGAGGTACTGTATAGCATGAGCCAGGAGTTAGCAGGATTCTAGGACCAGTCCTAGCTGCAAACAGCAGGTGTCAGCAAAGGCAACCTTTAAACTGGAGCCTTCATTAAGCACTTGCTAGGTGGCTGGATGGCACAGCAAGTAGAGATGCCAAGCCTGGAGACAGGAGGACCTGAGTTCAAATGTGACCTCAGACACTTACGACCCTGGGCAAGTCATTTTATCTCAGTTCCTCATCTGTAAAATGAGCTGGAGAAGAAAATGGCAAACCATTCAAGAATCTTTGCTAAGAAAATCCCAAATGGGGTCACAGAGTGGCACATGATGGAAAAACAACTGAACACCAGGTGCTGTGCTCACCGCATTGTACAGATTATCTCATTTAGTGCTCAGAACACCCTAGGAGGGAGAGACTGACTCTCCATATTTTACACATGAGAAAACTGAGGCACAGAACAGTTAAGTGACTTGTCCAGGGCCACACAGTTACTAACTGTCTGAAGGTAGATTTGAACTTGGCTCTTCCAGACTCCAAGCCCAGAGCTGTATCTACTGTACTATTTAGCTGCCTATACAAGGACTGAACCTTATCCACCGAGAGGCTCGCTTGCCAGATGTACCGGAGGTTTTTGACTTGAAGTCAAGAAGCGCTGAGTTCAAGCCTCATCTCTTATGTATGCTGGCTGTGTGGCCCCAGCAAGTTACTTCACATGCTCAGGCAGCTGTTTAAGACTCTGAGTCATGGAGACGCTGCCAATCTGCAGTGGTAGAGGGAGACCATGCCCAAATTTCCCTCCCACTGATGAAATAACCAGTCTGGATCACCCATGCACATGACGGGCTCCAGGCCATAGCACTCAGGCTCTGGCCCCCAAGTCAGGACTTCCTGCCCTGCTCCTCTGACCTGCATCCACTCTGGGAGAGGCAGTGGTAGGCGGTCACCCAGCCAAAGGGTAACCCATGGAAAAATGTGGCAGAGCCAACAGAGGCGGCTAAGGGTGGCGCTTGGCTTTGCAGGTAAGCCATTTGCAGATGGAGTCTAGGATTCTAGATGGATTTGCAGACGGATTCTAGGTGGTACAACCTAGCAGAAGCATCCATGAACATGCTGCCCTGAAAACACAAGAACCCAGCTGACCACTTTGTCCATCGCACAAAGGCTGCCCTCCGAAGCTGGAGTGTGATGCCTAGGGGACGTGAAGGCAGCCACAGTCCATCCCAGGAGCCTCTGTGGACGGAGGCAGCTACTGCCCTCCCGCACTTGGCACCATGGAGTGCCATCTGCTGCCCAGCTAGTGGGTTCACCCTCTTTCCTCCAATCCCCCCTCCCCACCTCCAGCCTGTTCCGCCCATTACTGGCATGAACAACAGGGAGCTTCCCTCCAGAAGCTGTGGCTCCTACCTCTGGCCTGGAGACCGGCTCCACAGTTCTCATGGGTGCCGGGGCTGTCCTGCCTCACCGACCAAGGCGCCATCTGGCACCGGCGCCATTTGTGAGTCTTCCACCTGAAAGAAGTCCCGAGCTTGATTAAGGGCTTGAGGGGGACATGGGGACACGTGGTCATGCCACAAGACTTAAGGCTTCCTTAAGTTCCCCCGTGAGCAGAGGCCAATCTGTTAATGCTGGTTCTGTTTTTCTGATTGTAATTTAGGGCTTGAGGACGGTATTCAAAGTAGCAAGAGTAGAGGTGGAAGCCTGCCTGTTACCCAGCAAATAGACGCTTCCTTGGCACGTTCTAGTGGGCACTCCTTTCACATACGGGCTGGGCTACAGGCTGGCTTTGGACTCTTATGTTCTAGAATTCTGTGAATCCCTGCTACCAGGAGTCAGTCCTGGAATCACTGGAAGGCCTGGGGAAGGAGAAGATGATGATGAAAGAGCGGCCATCTCCACTCTGTGTTTTAAAGTCCAGCTCTGGCTAGGGGAGCAACACGGTGGCCTTGGCACATCCCACAGGGCAGCCCTGCAGTGATGACTGCTTCTGACCTCTTAATGCTCTTGAAGTTAGACGTCTCTAATGAATGACCCCCACCGACCGAAAGCTTCAGCAATCTCAACTAGCATTCGCTTGGTGCCCGAGAGAGTGGAGCTGAGCAGGGCAGGGCAGACATCTTCCTGGACCCATTGAGACCTGTGGGAGGGTCATTCTGCTGCTGAGAGCTCTGGAATCTATAAGAAGCCACTGTTCTCTTGGGCCAGGAGGGGGATCCTCCACTGGGACCCTGACGGTTTGACTTCTCAAGCCTTCTTGAAGGCCAAGACTTTCATAGCCTGATCTAGTTTTCTGTGATTCTCACATAAGGGAAAGAAGAGGCCCTGTGGGGGAAAGGACAAAGCCCTAGACCTGGGAGCAGCAGACCCAGATGTAACACAAACTGGCTTTGCCAGTCTGCACAAGTCCACTGGCACCCCTGGGCCTGGGTCTTCTCCCTGCATAGTGGCAATAACTATACTTGCACAGGGTGGGATTGTGGGTAACACACTGGACTTAGTATCAGGCAGATCTGAGTTTGAATTCCGACTCAGACACTTGCTGATTGGTATAGACGTGAGAGTAAGAAGCACAGGGTGCTGAGGCTCAGGTGAGCAAAAAGGGGCTAAGACGCTGTACAAGTCCTAATTTACTGTCACTTATCAGTTCCTGTTTGGGGCTGCTCTGATCTGACATTCCATCGTGCATGTGCACCACCTATCCACCCCCCAATTTGTGTCTCTCAGAATTCTTTTCCTTCAGGGCTTGCTTGGGGGCTCCTTCCTTCTTGAAGCCCTCTCTGATTGCCTCCAGCCATGAGGGAGCTCTCCCTGCCCCAATGTTCTCAGAGTCTTTGGTTTCCATAAATCCTCTGCCCCCTGGCACCACAGTCCTCCCCATGCCTGTGGAAGCAGGTTAGAGCTCCCAGGACCATCTGAGCTCCTTAAGCACAGGGCCCAGTTAAGGGCTGAGGGTCGTGCTCTGCCCAGAACAGGCATTTAGCAAACTGTCCCTGGCTAGACTTGGCAGCTTTCCAAAAGCCTGAGGCATCTGGGAATTCAAGGCATTGGACCATCTGCTTGTGAGGTTGTTGGGCTGGGGGTGGGAGGCCTAGCTGTCCAAAGCAGAGAAGCTGGGGAAAAGGGGACCAGGGGACTGGGGAGGTGGGGAGATACCAACTCTGTGACTCTCCCAGCCTCACCTGAAGCTGTGGCAGACCTGGGGGGCTGCGCATTCCCTTTCCTCATACATCGCCTCCAGGCAGTCTCGGCCTCCATTCGCAGGCAGCTGAATGATAACCCGGTTCCGGGATTGCTTCTTCACTGTGGTGTCCCCTGAAAAGAGTCCAAGGACGGCATGGTTTTAGCCTCCTGATTTCTGCAACGAGCCACAAGCCCGATGATTAGGCCTTTGTCAATGTCTCGAACCTCCCTGGGGGGAATCATCAGGATTTCTGTCTTGGGAAAAATGCCTGAATGAGGGACAAGCCAGCACCGGAAGAAGGCGAGGCCAGTGGAGGCGATGCCTTTATCATTTCCAGAAGCCTCTGAATGCATTCCTGCTTACAGAAGCTGGAGGCCCATGCATCCTGGTATATTCACTCACAGGCAGGGAATGGGCCTGTCCTCACCACAAAGACAGGAGGGATGAGTGAGTAGGGCCCTGGACAGAGAAGGGCATGATGGCCTTTCCTCTTGGCCAACCAAGAACTGGTCCTGGGATGGGTCTTGTTTGATTAGGGGTTTTTAAATGATTTGTGACAGAGGGGGTGAAACGCACAGATAGGTAGACAGCACTAAAGCATTAGGGGAGTCAAAGCCTGGGGTAGGAAGCCAACGGCCAGACAGTGAATGGGTTCTGGTCCCAGCACAGCCACATGAGTGAGGTGGCCTTGGATGAGTTCCTCCCCAACTTCATTTTCCTCATCTGTGGATTTAAGAGCGCCGCACTGAAGATCTGAGCTTTAGATCCAGAAAGTATTTTAGAAGAAATCATTGATTCTAATGCCCATTATACAGATGAGGAAACAGACCCACAGAGAGTAAGTAAAGTAGCCAAGGTCCCAAGGCGGGATGAGATGCTTTTTGGTCTTCTGGGCTCCAGTTCGTTCTGACTTTCTTTCTTTCTTTCTTTCTTTCTTTCTTTCTTTCTTCTTTCTTTCTTTCTTTCTTTCTTTCTTTCTTTCTTTCTTTCTTTCTCTCTCTCTCTCTCTCTCTCTCTCTCTCTCTCTCTCTCTCTCTCTCTCTCTCTCCCTCTTTCTCTCTCTCTCTCCCTCTTTTCCTCTCTTTCTCTCTTTCTCCCTCTCTTTCTCTATTTTTACCTCTCTCAATATATACATATATGTGTGTATATACATATTATATATTTGGTGGGATGGTGTCTGGGCTTATGATGCCAGAGAATCTCCCTCCACCAATGTAATCAGCAACTTTGGTATGTTTCACAGTCTTGGAGATTTGCCTGGGAATAGTAGGAGACTAACTGACTTGTCTCTGACCACACAGCCAGTCCGTATCTGAGGTGGAATTAGAATCCTGGTCTTCCCGAGTCCAAGGCTGGCCCTCCCTCTCTCCACTGCACTGTGATGCCTCTCAGGTGCTCCATGCACTTGTGGGCACATAGACCCTGCTGCTTCAGACTGCAGAGAGAGATCTCTGCCTAAGTGTCAGATGGAAGCATTGGCCTCATCCTTGGGAGCTTTCAGATCAAGAGTGAGCCCCGCGAAGTCCTGCTGGAAAGTCCCCTCCCAAGTCACCAACCAGCTCTGTGCCCTCGCATCAGGGTTGCTTTCCTGGGGACATCTCACCCTCTGGGGTGACTGGTGGATCTCATTAAGGCAGCATCTTTCTCTAGAGGATCCCCATCGTCCCACGTGCCACATGGGACACACAGCCCTAGTCCCCCATGTATAACAAGGCTGCAAACCAGCCTTAAATGTGACATTTTATTTCTTGGTGACTCACTTAATTTGAAATACGTACCAAGTAAATTATTCTAGTCATTTGCCATTGATGGCAAACAGGCTGCACATCGTAGTACCTTGAGTCATGGTATAAAGATCAGGGCGGAGTGTGGTGAAATTGAACACTATGGTTCTGCAGCTGCAGATACTTAGGGGATTTTTGGAGCTAAGTGGTTTTTATCACCAATAAATTTATAATTGGAGCAGTTAGATGGCACAATGGATAGAATACTGACCTTGGAGTCAGGAAGGCCTGAGTTCAAATTCAGCCTCAGACGTTCACTAGCTGTGTGACCATAAGCAATTCATTTAACTTCTGTTTGCCTCAGTTTCTTCAAAGGTCAAATAATAGCACCTGTCTCACATGGATTTGTGAAGATCAAATAAGATAATATTTGTCAAAGCCTTGGCATAGTGCCAGGCACATAGAAGACTGAGGTGAATACTCATTCTCTGCCCTGAAGGCTTCCCCTGATGTGGGGAATGCCCTTGTCCAGCTCAGCCTCCATCCAAAGCTCAGAGGCCCCTTGCCAAGGAGGAGTCTAGACGTCTTTGACTGACTCATTCCTGACGTTGAATTCACAGTTCCCTTAACGCTTGTTGGAGAAAGAGAAGAATGAATTTTGGACTAGCTTAGGATCTCCTAGGACTGAGAGCTGGGAGGGATCTTACAGAAAATCTGCTACATTTCTTTTTGCCAGACTGTGTCCCAGGAGGAGCAGTGACTTGTCCAAGATCACGCGGCTAGTCAAGGACAATGCTTGGTGCCTCTGACTTCAGATTGAGTGCCATTCCCACCATTCCACCCTTATCCCAGAGCTGTCCTCTAGTTGTCTCATCTGTTTATGTCTTGGCTCTTTATCTGTCCCTCAACGTGATTCTTGGAATGAGGAACATAACGTGTCCCCCCTTCACTCGGCACCAACCACACAGAGTGATCGCAGGGAAGCAGGTCACAGCTGGTCAAGGCCAAGGAGAGAGCTTCCCACTGTCCACTGTCTGGGGCTGGACACCTGCATGAGGCTGTGACTCATCCCTTGGAGGGGGCTCACTATCAGATCAGCCACAGTGCTTGGTGTACAGAGGGCATGCTACAATCTCTGCTTCTCTGCAGCCAGAGAGCAAAGATTCCATGTGGAAGAATGTAGGGGGTCAGCAGCTAGACTCGTGGAGTGCGGAAGAGCTGACTCAGATCCTGCCTCACAGTCTGCTAGATGACTGACCCTGGGGAAGTTACTTAGCTCTCTCAGCCTCAGTGTCCTCATCTGTAAAGTGGGGATAATAACAGGACCCACCATCCAGAGGTGTCTTGAGATTATTCATGTAAAATACTTTGCAAATCTCAATGTGCTAAGTAAATGTTATTGTTGTTATTAATTATGCCAGGAACCTGATCCAGGGCATGGACAAGCCTGAAGTGACAAGTGGCCTCATGCTTTCTTAGCTCTCTCTCTCTCTCTCTCTGTCTCTCTCTCTCTCTCTCCTTCCTCTTTCTCTCTCTCTGTCTTTCTCTCTCTGTCTCTCTCTGTGTCTGTCTCTCTCTGCCTCTTTCTTTCTTTCTCTTTCTTTCTTTCTTTCTTTCTTTCTTTCTTTCTTTCTTTCTTTCTTCTTTCTTTCTTTCTTTCTTTCTTTCTTTCTTCTTTCTTTCTTTCTCTCTGCCTCTCTCCATCTCTGTCTCTCTCTCTGAGTCTCTGTCCTGGTCTCTCTCTGTCTCTCTGTCTCTCTCTGTGTCTGTCTCTCTCTCTGTCTCTCTCTCTTTGTCTCCCCCCACCCCATGCTCCCTCACAGCCCTGCTCTGGCTGTGGGCATGACTCCCCTCTCCTCTCTCTCTGCTGCTCGGGCTGGAAGGCCCACCTGGCAGGAGACAGGAGACATCCAATTCTATCCTCCTCACAGGGATGTTCTTGTGTCATTTTGTGTCATTGGCTGGAGCAAACCGCTGATTCCACAGCATGGGGGGCTCCGGGGGACTGAACACCCCCAAGCACATTGGCTGCCTCTGCTGTGCTGCTCCAAGCCCAGGGGAGCAGCTGGGCTCCTGAGAGGCTGATGCTGGCCTGGGACCCACAGTCGGTAGGTGCCTGAGGCAGGACCTGAACCTGGATCTTTGCCTCTGTCTGATGAGAGATGGAGGCCGGCTGGCCTTGAGCCCAGGTCTTCCCGACTGTCTACATTTTCCAGATGGTTCTCTTTAGAATGATAGTCTTGATCTACAGAAATCATTTGGTTGACTTGTACCCAGTGAGCGAGAAATGTCTCTCCAGGTCCATGCCGTTACTAGTGCTCATAAACATCTCCTCTCCTCTTTCGAATAAAGCTCTGCTGGGCTGCAGGTGTTTGGAGGGACAGAGCAGACAGCCCCACAAACACCCCTCCCAGCCCCTCAGAGAAGACAGTCAGCCAATCTAAGCTTAACTCCAGGACGACGGGATGTGCAGAAGGGCGGCAGCTTTTTCCTCTGATGCCACATAGGGAGAATTGAGGTGCATGAAGGATTTCTATCTGGAAAACATACTTTATCTAGATTTTTGAGCACCATCCTGGGACTCACAGTCTGATTTTCAAAACCCTCCCTGTGCAGTGTAGGTCTTTACTACTGCAGGTTTCCCCAGGCCCATCTTGGGAGCCTGAGACACCCTCCCCAGGGACAGAGGCTGCTCCCAGAAGAAGCTACTTTTCTCCATTCTCTGGTGGGCTCCCATGTGATGGTTCTTCTCTCAGCGGCTGAAAGAGAAGGAGGCCTGCTCCTCATTTTAATAGGTGCACAACTCCAGACAGAGCTTAACAAATTTAGAATTACCTGCAAAATCTAATTAGAAAGAAACAATCTTGTCCCCACATTAATTTTATGCTACTATTATCTCTCCTAGGATGCCAAATTTCAGTTAGCATTTTTAATTGTGGGTTGCCCTCAAAGTAATTTCCCAGGAACATAAATTATTCACACTCTGTACACAGTAATGAGAAAACTTTCTCTAGGCCAAGACTGGGTCTTGCTCCCAAGAAAATGACAGTTTCTATCATTATCCCCAGACCCAATCAACCCCCTCACTAGTCTGCAGACTCCTACCTTAGGTAACCAGAGGAATGGCCCATTGGCTCATGGCCAGGCTGCTCCTGAGTCCTTCTTGGGGTCCTCAACCTCTGGCCCTTGCTGGTCACAGGGGCAAAGATTCAGAATTGAGATAGGCCTTAAATATTGCCTGGATCAACTCTCCTCCTGTCAATGAGGACACTGAGGCCTGGGAAGCAGGGGTGTCCCCAAGGTCAGCCAGGTGGTGTCAGGAGGGGACTCAAGCTCTGGCTGTCCCTGTGTCCCCTGGACTGAGCTGCCTGATCCTGCATCTCATTGGGATGAGGGCTTTCCTCAGAGATGACTGGATAGAATAAGGGTGAAATGCCGGAAGAAGGAAATTAAAAAGAATGAGCTGCCAATCACCAGGACATTTCTTGTAGACTAGGAGGTACCACTGGGTGAGCTGTAGTCTTGAACCTGGAGTCAGAAAGGCCTGAGTTCAAATCCAGCCTCAGACACTTACCAGCTGTGTGATCTTGGGCAAGTCATTGAAACTCTATTTGCCCCAGTTTTCTCATCTGTAAAATGGGGATAATAAGAACACTGACCTCCCAGGGTTGTTGTGAGGATCTGATGTGATCACATTTGCTAAAAACCAAACCAAAACAAACCTCGATCCAGTGCCTGGCCCACAACAGGAGCTTTATAAAGGCTCACCCCCCCCATCTTATTGTTAGGTACAAATACTGTTAAGTACTGTGCCCCAGAGACCTTAAGTGCTCTATAAATTGTAGCTGTCATCATGATTTTCCTAGTGTTAGAATTCCATAGCCAGAGGGAACCTTAGAAGTTATTCTGCTCCAAATTCTCCATTTCACAGTTGAGCAAACTGCGGCTCAGACAAGGAAGGTGACTGGTCCAGGGTCACACAGAAAGTGAATGGCGGGGCTGGCTCCTGGACTTTGGGGCCCGCACCAACTTCACGAGGCCAGGCCTCAGTCCTTAGGTGTGCGTGTCCCTCAGAATTCTTCATCTGTTCCTTCTGCTTCGGGTGCTGGTGCTCGGTGCAATTCTCTTTTGCTCCCTCCCCCAGTTAAACTGAAATGAATATCAAACGACTTCCTATCAGTGGCCTTTATTAAGCACCAAGGATGAAATGACATTTGAAGGCATCTGTACCTCATGTAACAAGCTCAGCCTTCGTAATAATAAGTGACAGTGACTAATCACCAATCACCAGGGGCATTAGCACACAGCTCATTACCAACTCAGCTAGAAGGAAGGAACATTGAGAAGGTTTAAAGAGAGGAAAAAGGCCAAGAAGGAAATCTGGAAAAGCATTTGCTCTCGCACTGTGCCACTGTCCTTCATGTTTTCTTCTCATGCCTTGTTGTGCCCTGGAACTGATCTGGGCTCTGGGAGGCCCTGCTGCTCTCCCAAAGACCTGAGAGTTCTCACCAAGCTGTTGAGGGGCTCAGTGGGTGCCCAGAGAAGGACCATGTTTGCTGTCTGAAGACCAGCCTCATTCGAGGCAGAGAGTTAGGCTCATAGTCAGAAGCTGTCTCTATGGAGTGAAATATTTTTTGGTCCCAGCAATTCACAAAGAGCGTCTTCCTAAGGGGGGAGGGGGCTGTGCTTTGCCCCAGGGAAGAGAAGGCACTCACTGGGGAAATTGTGGGACTATTGAAATGATCATATATGTGCTCTGTACCAAGACAGGGACCCTTTGCAATGGTTTTAAGGGCACAAGGGGGGGGGTCAGGAAAAGATACGTTAGGACTTTTGGGGTGAATGGCATAGTTTCACTATGTTAAGGTTTCATTTGTCCTTAAAAGTTTAAAAAAGTTCCAAAAAGAGAAATTCTTGGACAAAGCCGGATTGGATCAAATAACCAATATACATCATATTACAGATTTCCTACTAAGTATGACAGCCTTTGGATATGTTTGAAGCTAACTGCAAAGATTATTCCATTGCTGTGACTGGGAACTCTAGCTCTAGCTTGGCAGGTCCTGAAATGAGCCTGGCTCCTGGGGAGTGAGAAGGAGTGTCACCTTTTACAGCAAACAGATACTTTTGGGGAAAGGGCTAACAGGGATTGAAGCCAATCCTGCCTTCCCTCCCAGTTCCTCAAAGAATCATGCCCAAGGGGGACAGGACCTCAGAAATAATCCAGCCCAGCTCTTTGATTTTACAAAGGAGGAAACTGAGGCCTGCGACCACAGAGGATGAATCATTCAGCTTTTTCTGCAGCTTCAGAGTCAAGCCACTGAAGGCTCAGAGAAAAATTAGAGAGGAGGGGCCTGGAAGAACAGCTTTGCCCAGGGTCACACAGGCACTAGAACCAGGTCTTCTGAATCCAAAGGCAGTGTCCATGCCCCCGTCCAGCTGTTTTCTCCTTGGCCATCTTCATAGAGCCACACTCCTTTGGAAGGAATTGTTCTGTGTCGCTGTTCCCCAAAGCTTTGGCTTCGCGGGGCCCGGGGCCTTTCAATAACTGGGCTGGTTCTACTCTCCACTAGGGCCCACAGCTCTGCCCAGCAGCTTGGGCTAGGAGTCGGTGATGTGATTTGGGAGCCTCCTGCATTCACAGGATGACAGAAGTCCTGGGAATAGATGACAACACCAAGGAAGGTTGGGGGAAAGAGGAGGAGATAGCTATGGCAACACTCAGGGGGATACCTACGTCTCAGGGAGAGGAAGACGAAGAGGACGCAGAAAGAAGAGACAGAAGCACAGCCAGAGAGGTGCAACTCTCAATGTGCATGTCACAGGAAGCAAAGGGGAGAAAGTGCAAAGGATGTGTGTGTGTGTGTGTGTGTGTGTGTGTGTGTGTGTGAGAGTGAGTGTGTGTGTGAGAGAGAGAGTGTGTGTGAATGTGTATGTATGTGTGAGTGGGTGTGTGTGTGTGAGAGTGAGTGTGTGTGTGAGAGAGAGTGTGTGTGAATGTGTATGTATGTGTGAGTGGGTGTGTGTGGGTGTATGTGTATGTGTGAGTGGGTGTGTATGTGTGTGTGTGTGTGTGTGTGTGTGTGTGTGTGTGTGTCCTGAGTGCCAAACATGGCAGAGACATCAAAGAAGGTGAGGATATTGGATAGGCTACTGTACTGGTAATGGGGGCAGTTTTCTTAATATGTAGAAGGACGATGATAAACACAATAAAATTCTCAGCCTCCTGTCCAGTTCTCCCTAGCACCACATCTTTTTTTTTTTTGTGAGGCAATTGGGGTTAAGTGACTTGCCCAGGGTCACACAGCACCATATCTTTCTTTAAGGCTGGTTGGAAGTTGAGAAATAATTGTTGCCATTTTAATGTTTCTAAAGCCTGGTAATATAATGTTTCACTTTATCCTCACAACAATCTGTGAGATGGATGTTATCATACCCATTTTATAGATGAAGAAACCAAGACTGAGGGGAGAGTAAGTGGCTTGGGAAAGGTCACAGAATTAGTAAGTTAGGAAGGCAAAATTTGAACCTGTCTTCCTGACTCAAAGTCCACCCTCCATCTGACACATCACCCAGAAGAACAAGCTTTCCTCCTCCTCCTTGGGTCCCCAGCATTGATTCCAGGGACAAATATGGAAGACAACATTTGCCCCTTTGAGTCATCTCTCACTGAACAACAAATCTACCATAATTATATCTGTGACATCTCCATTTTGATTCACACCCCTTAAACAAACACAGAAACAAGTCACCACATGGTGTTGTATATCTGGGCTCTTACTTTAGAAGTCCAGACTTTTGTCCTTCTCTGGAAGACACCCTTTTGCATTCTTACCCTCCTACAGCCGGAACTCTTCTGGAGTCTGCTGTGGGGAGGGGAAAGCCCATGAATCCAACCCAGAGCCCCTTCTCCATCAGCCCCTTCCCACTGATACCTTCTTTGCAGGTGGAGGGGCACGGTGTCCAGTCACTATACGGGGTTACGATGCAGTCCCTTCTACAAGGAAGCAGACATGGCCTCACCGTTTCAGGTCGAAGGTTCTCAGGACATCTAGGGATAGAAGGACAAAGGTCAGAGCTTAGATAATCTCAGTAATAATGATACTATCTGGCCATCAGTTCCTTAAGGATTGTATCAGCATCTTGCCTTTCTAGATCTTTAGAGTTTGCGAAGGGCTCTACATATGCTGCTTCCTTTGATCTTTTAAGAACATTGGGGTTCTAGCTTTTAAACATACTCAGATCAAGAATACCCCTCCTTCCCATGAGACTCCTACAATGAAAGGAGAGCTTCTGAAAAGGCCCCAGTCTAGACTGTCAACATGGATGGGATCACAGGCTCTAGAGCCGGTAGGAACGTTGTCGGCTCAATAGTACAAAGCCCTCATGTTACAGATGAGGAAATCAAGCTCCACCGGGAGAAGGAAGTGCCCTGCCTGAGGCCACATGGGCAGTGAGCAGCAAGTGAAAGATTCAGACCAGGTCCACTGACACCAAACCCTTTCCCCTCTTTCCATCACTCCATGGCGGCTTCCTTCTACACCGCACTGCCATCATGCTCATGCCATTGTTATTGTTTGGTTGCACATGACCATCGACTAGCCATGCCAATCCACTTCTTTCCCACCTCTGATGTTGTGATCACATTTATGACCACTGAGGCTTTGGAGATAGCAACATGGTGTCCACTTGGCATGTACACGTAGGAATCAGGGCCCCAGCATGAGAGGTATGTGGAGGTTTGGGGCGGTAGAAAGAGGATGGGTGGAGAAATCTAAAGAGTTCTGGGTTCTAATCTTGCCTGGCAGGAGCTAGTGAACCAGCTGTATGATGGGGAAGTTGCTCTGCCATTTGCTGTGCATGAGACTCTCAGATTTCCCCTAATCAGGTGGCCTGCTAGAGTGGAGTTGATCTTCCCTTAAATCACTTAGCACAGGCCAGCAAATGTCTTAAGAGAAATGGAGTCAGGCTGTGAAACACTGCATGAAACTAACAATTACCCGCAATTCCCAACTTTCAAGCCACCTTAAAGGAGGTCATGTGTGTTTCTTGCATGCTGGAGAATGAGATGGAAACTTTTGGAACCAATGTGACCATTTTATGGGTCTTGAGATGTTTTTAAGCTCCCATCTTAAGTCAAGGATAAGCTTGAATTTATTCTAATTGCCATGCCCATTCAAGGGCATGAGTACAAAATGGAATCAGATAAGGATCGTGGAAGTTAATCTTTTCTATTACCACTGAGACCATAAATCTCTAAGGAGGCCCACTTGGCTGCTGAAATAAGGCTTAGAAACAGGAAACACAAGAGGTCCACTTATTCCATTGAAAATAGAGAATTATACCCCATTTAAGTAGGGCTTATTCTCAGATCCCATTCTTTCTGGGGTGCTTTTACTGATATATAGACCAGAAAAACCCTGGGGAATCATGTTTTCTGTAAGCTTTAACCTTGATAAAAGTTCCTAGGAATCTACAGGGACACAGATTTGCAATTTTTTTCTAATACAGAAACTCATAAATGCAGTTTTCATTAAGTTTTCCTAAAGCACTGGTCTGGTCATGCCACTCCCCTGTTCAAGAAGCTTCTTCAGCGACTTCCTGTTGTCTCTAGGGTGAAATACATATTCTTCCATGAGCCTTTTAAAGCCCTTTTATGATCTGGCTCCAGTCTCTCTTTTCAGTCTTTAGAATTCATCTTACCCCCCCCCCCCCGCCAACTGCCCATGCTCTGGCCAAATGGACTGACTCCCTGTTCCCTCAATAGGACATTCCACCTCCCATCTATGTGTTTGTTATTATTCAGTTATTTCAGTCACGTCTCACTCTTCCTGACCCCATCTGGGACTTTCTTAGCAGAGCCACTGGAGTAGTTAACCATTTCCTTCTCCAGCTCTTTTTACAGATGAGGAAACTGAGGCCAACAGAGTGAAGTGACTTGCCCAGAGTCACACAGTTGGTAAGTGTCTGAGGTGAGATTTGAACCCAGGTGAGTCTTCCTGACTCCAGCCCCAGCACTTCATGCAGCTGTCCCTGTGCTTTTGCACAGACCCTTCCATATGGGATGATCTCCTTCCTTGTCTCTACTTCCTGCCATCTGCTCAAGGACTCCCTCCTCAAGATGCCTTTTCTGACCTTCCCAGTGCTTCATCCTTCCTTGAGATGACTTTGTATTTCCCTGCCTGGGTACATGCTGCTCCCCCCGGCAGAATGTGTATTCCCTGAATGTAGGGTCCATTGCCTTTCTGCTCTTGAGTCCCATTGCCCTGCTCAGTGCCCAGGGCAGGTGGCTCCATGAATCCCTGTTGGACTGAAAGGATCACTGAGTGCCCAGAGCCATCCTCTTGTGGAGAGAACACCCCTAACCCCACAGTATGCTGAGGACACACCTCTCAGGATCCTGGGTCTGGGAAATCATAATTAACCCAACTCTGGGCTCCTCCAGAGAGGGGAGCAGCTTCATCAACATGCCTCTTTTTTCTCTTTTATGCTCTTTGTATTTAGTAGCTTCAACTTAAATCCAGAAATTGATCCCCTGCCCCTTCCCCCATTTTAGTCAAGGTCAAATTAGCCAGAAGAGAGAGGAGAGGCATGAAGTCTGTTATCGGGAGGGCAGAGAGTCCAATACCATTGATCTGTCCATCCAGCACTGAGCTGCTTTGTCAAGCAGAGTTAAAACAAGGTTTCTGCTTGCACATTTGTGTCAAGTGCCTGGATGGTACAAAATTATTCTGGGCATGTCACATGACATTTCAGAAGGCAATATCCCTGTTTTTTGAAGTCTTTGTATTTGCTTCCAAATGGAAGCAACCTTTCCTCCAGAATTTGAAGGGCAAAGACAATCTATTGGGTTTAGCAGATTCATACAGGCAACCAGGGGCCTGGATAAAAAAATCTAAGGGTAAGCCTCTGTAAACTGTTTGGTTCAAAGGGTATTTACAATGAATATGAAACTGGATTATTGTGAGGGTCCCCCAGAGCATTACTCTGATTGAATAGCCTGAGGGAGGTTAATCCTCCACCTTTCCTCCCAACTCCAGACTCATGCATGATTTTCTTGTCTTCTACTTTAAGCCAAAGTCTGGAGGACTAGAAATGTTTGCAGTAGTCCTGGAGGCAGGTAAAAACAGGACTTGGGAGCACATGGCCTTACAGAGTGCTGCAAAGTTCTTGGTTCCTGGAGGGAAGGTGCGTTGGTGAGAAATCCAATGCGGGGCACAGAACACGTTTATCTCTGGGATGGCTAAAGTCGGAGGGAGTGAGACTCTAGTCCAAGAGTCTTCTTAGATCTAATTTTGTTGCCATTCCATAGAATGTCATTTGGATTGTATTTAGTGGAGGGACGGCTGGGCTTGGGGATCTGGCTTCAGATTCTGAATCTAGCATGCAATAGCAGTGTGAACTTGTACAATGATAACAATACGTCTACTACACAAACGGGTCTGCAAAGGAAAGTGGTCTTTACAGACCACAGGGCACTACATAAATGTGAACTCATTAAGATTTCAGCTTTACTTCTTTCATCATCGTCTATATTTCTGTCAGGCTTTCACATGACCCATTACCTGATGAGCTCATAAAGCGGCTTTCTACCTGAGTCCACCCCACTGGAGATCACACGGTCTTGACATCCTTCCTCATCTGGGGTGGACACAAGTCCCCACAGAGCCTCTTGCTAGGATTAGGGGAAATATTTCCCCCCAGGAGCCCTTCCTTCAGAGGTCCTGAATCTTTTGAAGAGCTGTGACAGCTAGTATTATTATGATTACCATTTATTGTTATTAGCTATTGCTCGAGACCTTTTAGGTCCTCAGTTTCCTCATCTGCAGTATGAAGGGGTATCCCTAGATGGAAGCTGAAGCCCCTTCCGGTTCCAGATTAAAGATCCTCTCTATGGCTGAAGAGGAGGTGTGGAAGCATCCATGCCTTTGGCCCCTTTGCCTCCTGAGCTCCCAGCTCCCTGCAAAGTCAATTCCTTTTCATTGCAATTCCAAGAAAGCCCAAGTTTATGAGCAGGAAATGACTTTTGTGCCACAGGGAGAACGAATTTGAGATTATTGGCAATTAAAAGATATCAAAGCCAGCCCCGGAACTATACAGTTTGCCATGATGTATTTGCCATGACTCAAATATCTCAGTGGAATTTGATTTATAAAGATTTAGATCTCAAATTTAAGAACAAAATGGCAGGTGGAGATTCAGCCAGAACAGGGTTTATCTCCTACAGGGTATTTTTAGACATTTCCTTTAAAGACTGATTAGGTTCACTGTTTGAGCTTTATCAGGTTTTGTATCTAATTGTCAGAAAGTAAAAAAGAGTGCCTGACAATGGGGCCCTGTCCCTCCCTGGTTTAGCTTGAGTGCGTCTAGGCCTCGCCTCCTGCAGATGAGCTCACTTTGTCATGGGAGGGGTTCAGAGTCACCCCTAAACCCAGACACACTTTGGCTTGTCCAGGACTTGGCTGGAGACCGCTCTTGTTAGTTTTGAGTGTGAACGTGAGCATTTACATCTTGGAAATCAGAAGCCTACAAGTCAGGGCTTGATTTATTATTTGTGCATTGTCTGGACTGGAGAAAGTGAGGCAGGAAGTGTTAATGATGCAGATTAAACTGAAAAGTGTGAATTAACTTTTTTTGGTTGTTAAACATTTGCCAGCAAATGCCTGGTTCACCCTCTCCCTCAGTGAGTTCTCTCTGTCTCCGTCTTTCTCTCACTCTCTAGCTCTCTCTTCTCTTTGTCTGTGTCTCTCTATGTCTGTCTGTCTCTCTCTTCTCTCCTCTGTCTGTGTCTCTCTGTCTGTCTGTCTCCCTCATCTCTGAGAGATGGCTTACTCATTTAACCCTGGGGAGAGGTAATGAGCTTGGACTCAGCATCCTGGATATTGCTTCCTTGCCAGGAGGACTGAAGGACATTTCAGGAAGCTGCCACCTCCCTTCTAGCCCTCATGGCTGCCCAACCCCAGCAGCACATTGTGATCATCACAAAGGAGCCATGGCTAAAGTCTGTCTTGTGCTTCAGAGCAGCCCTTCAGAAGACGGATGCCCTTCTCTAAAGGCTGGGAAGGGGCTGGAAGGGGAGTTTCTCTTCTGTGATTTTGGGAATCTGGCTCCAGAAATATGGAGCTTTTGGTTCCTCATCCATCACCATCACTCAGACCAGCTGCCCCTCGCAGGCAGCAGACCTGGCTGGCACCAACCCACCCATCTTGCCCAGACAGGGTAGTCTCAGCAGTGTCTCTGCTGCTGCCTGGGTCATTTCCTGCTGGATTCCAGGCAGGTATCCTTACTTTTTAGGTCCTACTTGGCCCACGTTGACTCGGACACAGATGACTTTCCTTGTCTGCATGCCGACAGAGCATGTGGCCTCCCCATTCCAAGCTGCAGAAGTGTTGAAGGAGGAGACAGAGCTGTCCTCAATGCATGGGCCCCAAGGGCCCGTTTGCCAGTGGTAAACAGTGCATGGATGCTCATTGCAGCTGCGTGTCTCCTGGAGGGCACTGTGGCTCGGGCATGGAGTGCCACCTGGAATGATAAGGCACACATTAGAATGAGGATCACAGGCCCAGCTCAACACAACAAGCATTTACTCCACACTTAATACATGTCAGGTTCTGTGCTAGGCACCGGATACAAAGACAAAAAATAATAATAGCTCACACTGATATTGCACCTACTATGTGGCAGGCACTGTGCTAAGCACTTTACAAAGATTATTTCACATGATCCTCACCATAGCCCGGGGAGGTCGATGGGGAAACTGAGGCTCCTAAGGGTAGGTTGATGAGTTTCCTGATGCTGAGATTCCTGAGAGCATGGTGGAGTTGTAAGGAGTGCAGCAGAGGGCAAGGAAGAGGGCGGCCAGCCTGCCGCTCTTCTCCATCTGTGGCATCCTACCCTGACCCCTTGCCTTCACCCAGGCGTAGAAGTCCCCCAGATTCCTTGCCACTGCTTTCCTGATCACCTCCTCCATCCCTACTAGCCTTCTCTCACTTTTAAAATCACTTTGTATAGAATTTATTTTTATTGATTTAGGTACATATGATACGCCACTCCCCTCCCCAGTAGAATGGAAGGTCCTTGAGGACAGGGCAGCCAGGCGGCACAAGGGAGTTCAAATCTGGCCTCATATACTTACTAGCTGTGTGACCTTGAGCGAGTCACTTAACCCTTGTTTGCATTAGTTTCCTCGTCTGTAAAATGTGGTGCCTAGGAAGGAACAAAATATTCCAGAGATTGTCTGCCTAGGGCAGTGTATGGCAAGACTATTCCTTTTATTCTTTTGAGAGTGGCCACTAGACATCCCTTCATGTGGTCCAGATTACAGCAGCATTTTCAGTGGCAGCTTTGCAGGCTTACAGGCCCCCCAGAACTCTGAGATCTTTATCAAATAAATGACTGGCTAGCCATGCAGCAGCCACAGCATCCCAATTGGAAGGATGTCAGCAGCCACATGGGCCATTCTGGATCGGAACAAAATCTGTTTACCAAGAATGTCTCTGAGAAGTGGGCATCCAGCCTTCCCTTGAAGACACTGAGAATGAGAAACTTACCAGCCCCCCTCTGGAGCCCTGTGGACCTCTCCCTCCCATCCCTGAAAGCTTTAACTGTTAAGAGATTTTTTCCATAACACAAGTCTAATTTATTCATTGCTTGTGGTGCCATCCTAGAATGCTAAGTAGAGCTAGTGTAATCTGTGGTTCATGTGGGGGCCCTCTAGATTCCTGAAGATAATTGCCATATCACCCCTAAGTCTTAGCACCATAGATTTAGAGCTAGAGAGGAATTCAGAGGTGATCTAGTCCAATCTTCTGATTTTACAGATGAGGGAACAGAGGTCTAGGGATGATGGCAGCTGATGCCCTTTGCAAGGTCTTTTGTTACCCCTTCAAGAGAAGAAACACAATAGAGTTGAAACACCACTGTCCTTGAAGGTGGAAGATCTGGCTGGACCTGGGTCCCAGCTCCATCATTCATGAGATACATGGCTTTCAGCAGAAGTGCATTAGATTCTGTGGTCCTCATTATCCACATTCATAAAGCACCACTCCCCTTCCCATTCACTGAGGTCATGTGAATCAAGCTCACCTATGGGGGAGGGAGAGTTCCTCACTAGCTCTCATGTTTCCATATGTGTGTGTGTGTGTGCATGTGTGTATGTATATATATATATGTGTGTGTGTACATGTATATGTGTACATGTGTGTATGTATATGTAAATGTGTATATATGGGTGCATACATGCATATGTGTATGTATATGGGTGTGTATGTATATGTGTGTGCATGCGCGCATGTGTGTGTGTGCTCACGAGCACTTGCAGATTTGGAGAGAAGTGCTCAAAGGAACAGGGATTCTTGTGTCCCAGTGGAGGTGCTACCACTCCTCTTCCAACTCACAACGGTCATGTGAATCAAGGGAGATAACACAAGTGTTTTGTGACCAGGAAATATGACCTGAATGTAAGCTGTTGCCTTGGCTCCCTGTATCAGTGTTTGGTACTTGGGATAATCTTGACACATCCCAGGTACTCTGATAAAAATGATACAGCAGCAGCAACAGACCCTTTAAATAGGAACTTTCTACTCTCTTGACTTAAGGACAATTGATTGTATCCATTCATGTCAGCATTCACTTCCTATGCATTGGGACAGCACACACATCTGGTGGAGGGGAACATTATTAACAGCTGGCTGAGGAAGCTATTACATCAGGTCCTTTCCCACTTTGCACAAATCGATGCCCTGTTCTTCCTGTGCTGAATGGCCAATTAGTTTAAATGAGAATCAACTCCAGTTGATGTTGGACCCAGGGAATGATGTTTCTAAATCCATTCTCCTTTCTAATGGAGTTTGCAAAGTTATAGAACATGACATTTCAAACATCCCTGACTGGACCAGCCCATGATCCCCTATGTGCAAATAACTGGGTATTGCCCCTTCTCCCTACAAATGCTTTTAGTGAAAAAGGAAACTTTATCAATACTGCTTGAGATTTCCATCGCAGACCGGTACAACAATCCACCCGACTGTGCAAAAGCTGCACCGGGGTTGATATTTTTTTATTTTACAGAGTACTGCAGAGTCTTAAATATTGCTAAGTCCAAACAAATACCAGGGTAATAAATGGAGGTTTAATCAGTAAAAAAGGAAGCCCATGATCCAGGAAATCCAAGTTCGAAGCCTGCCCTTCCTTCAGATTTCACCTGAACTATGTCTCCTCCTCTGCTTCTTGTTCCTGACTCTTATTGTTACCAAGGACAACAGTGAGCTCTTATAATTTGTACATTCAAACACGCACATGAAGAGAAGGCCCCCCATGATCTGATGGGAAGCACCAAGTAGAGGATGGTGTCATTCTCTAGCACTCTTGTCAGTTCACACAAACCTAAAAAGTGGGGCGGAGGTATTTAAACATTTAAACAGTAGGAAGGTTTGGCAAATCTGCATGACAGCTATTCTCTGGGTCACCCTTCAGAAGAACTTAGAAAAGAGCTCTCCATGGTATCTAGATCTAGAAGGAATGGCTCACCTGTGGAGGAGGGGGAGTTCTTCACTAGTGCTCACGTTTGCATATGTGTGTGTATATGTGTATGTATATGTATATGTGTACATGTGCATGCATGAATATGTAAACATCTATATATGTGTATGTGTATGTATATGCATGTGTGTATGTATGTGTGTGTGTGTGTGTGCTGATGAGCACTTGCAGATTTGAAGAAGAGAAGAGCTGAAAGGAACAGGGATTCCTGTGTCCCAGTCCAGCAAACATAGAGCTGACCAGGGCTGCACTCCATCACCAGTCCGACAATTAGAGGTCCAATTGTAGGGCAAAGATTTTTCCAGAATTCAAAGGAAACCTATATGTCATCATCCAGCAAAGCAACTAACAATGATGGTCCTTCAAAGCCCACAGAGTAATGCTAGCTGGCATCTTTAAAATGCCTTCAAGTTTGCAAGGCCATTGACCTGCATTATCTCATTCAAGCCCCACAAGGACCATGAGGCAGGCACTGTAGGTATTACAGTTTCCATTTTACAGATGAGGAAACTGAGGCTCAGAGACATTAAGTGAGTTGCTCCACATCTGGTAAGCATCAGAGACAGAAGCAGAGCACACCAGCTATTTCACAATCATCAATGAGAGGTAAACAGGCAAGCATGCGTGGGAAACAGACATGGTTGCCCATGATCAGTAGAGGTGGCTTCAGTGAACAGAAACAACCCAAGCCTGGGGGTCAGAGTCCTCCAGAGTTCCAATCCCAGTTCTCCCTGAACCAGGTTGCCCCCTGATCCCCAACTCCCTTTAGGATCCCAGTATTTGGAGATGGATGGGGCCTTGCAGAGGAAGAAGTCTGACCTTCACCTGGCAGATGAAGGGACAGACTCAGAATGGAAATGACTTCACTAAGGCCATGTAGACATTGAACAGCAAAGCTGACATTTGAACCCAAGTCTTCTGACTCCCAATTCAGTGCTCCTTCCAATACACCACAAAATCCCTCTCTGATTCTCAGTTTCCTCATCTGTAAAATGATGGGGGAGGAGGTATTCACGGAATCATATAATTGCAGATAATGTGACTATTGACCAAGAGTTGGCAGGAATGGGGACCTTACAGGTCATCTCAGAGAGGTTCACTAAGGGTGGGTGGGTCACACAAAGAGCAAGTGGCGGGTCCTGGGCACCCCAAATTCAGTGCCAGTTCCCATGAGGCCTCATTTCCCCCCTGCTTCAATACCAGAGGGTGTTTGCTGGGCTTTCTAGGTGTCTGTCCTGCCCAGATAGGAGGCATTGTTCTCACTGTAAATACCGTGGGCTTTAGATCTGGGAACAGAGGTGAAAGGGGCAAATTACAAAGAGATCTGAGGAACCTTCACAGGGGTAGCCTGAAGGTTAAGACCCACTGTCATGGATCTTATAGAAGCCTCAATATGGTGAAGGAAGAAGGTGGAAAGGTATGCCACTCGAAGACAAAGGAGGAGGTGAATCACAATGACTACAGCAGCATCTCCCAACGGGACCAAGGAGCATCAGGCATCATACTTTGTCATACCTCATACACATCAACGGTATTCGGGAACAATGAAGGCAAAGAGTTAAAGGAAGGAAGGAAGGAGCAAGAAGGAAACAACATGGAAGAAAGGAAAGAAGCAGGGAGTAAGAAAGGAAGGAAGGAAAAAAGGAAGGAATGAGTGAAACATGCAAGGAAGAGAAAAGGAAATAAAAAAGAATGACCCAGCAAAAAAAAAAGAATGGAAAGAAATGGAAAGGAAAGAAAAGAGAGAGACAGAAGGAAAAAGAAAGCTAAGGGAAGAGGAAAGGGCAAATGATCGTCTTGGTCACCCCCTCCACAGGAAGGCTGAAGGATGTGTCTGCACAGCAAGCCTCTGCTACTTTTGATCTTGAAGTTTACAATGCTGTTATGTGCATCTTAGTTTTCAAGTCTAGAATGAATGTGAAATAATAATAGCTAATATTTATGATAGCACTTATTATGTGCCTGGCACTATTCTAAGTGCTTTATAATTCTGATCTCATTTGATCCTCAGAACAACTCTGGAAGGGAGGTGCTATTATCATCCTCATTTTACAGTTAAGGAAACTGAGGTGGGAAAAGGTGCCCAGAGTCTCACAGCTAGTAAGTGTCTCTGAGGTCTCCGACTCCAGGCTCAGCACTGTGCATACATAGTATGGTGGCCCTTAGCAAGAATCCAGGCATATGCCCTTCTGTGTCTCTTGATCTGTTGTGTAACGGTTGTTGCTTTGCAGCACCAAACCACATGGAGTGGCTGCTCTCCTCCTGAAGTGTAGGGGGGGACAACATCCCTGTGGAGCTCTACCCCCAAACTGTGTTTCCCTGAGCCTTGCACACTCATTGGGCTCATAAACATTAGCTGGCTGGTTATATTCTTGAGTGTCAAGGAAAAGAGTCAGCTCTGCAGAAGACTTTTTTTAGAATATAAGTGTTTAAGAAATCTTGTGCATCATGCAAGGCAAATATCATTGGCCACTAATGAAAAAAGTGGAACTCCAAGGCAAAACAAAGAAACTGCCCCAGCTGCCCTTTCTGTCTCCTGCCACCATTACTGGAGCTTTGTACTTTGACAGATGGGCCATTAAGATGAACAACAGACCCAGCCCAGAGAAGGTACCAGGGTATGGCTCCCAACTACTGGAACAGCACCATTCTTATTCAGGCGATGCTTTGAAATCACCTCATTTGGTGATTTATAGCATTCAAGGAAGAGTTTTCCAGTAAAGTTTGCTTGTGATGCTGTCCTGACACTTTATTAAATATTACTGAGCTCCCCAAAGCTCCCTTTCCAAAACAAGCGGCCAACAGGCATCTGTGAGCAATATGAAACAGATATCAAGAAAACCTCCCATGACCCAATGATGTGAGGCTATGCCTCTAGAAAATGATGCCCTGCTGGCATCAGTGCCTGTGATGTCTGCTATATTTACAAGAGGCAAGGTGACAACAGATCTAATTGTCATGAAGTATGAAGCCCTGCTGCCGCTGATCGCCCTTAAGATAAGACCATAATCTGAGCAAAGCTTCGCCCTCTTTAGTTCCAGAAGGAGTAAGAGTGTCACCTCTAGGAGGTTACATTTCCTCTTCGTTTCTGAGCTGAAGTCTCATATTCATTTTGATTTCTGGGGCAAATGGGAAAGTATCAGTGAAGGAAACAATATCTGTAAGTTTCTTAAGAACAATATAAGGATTTCAAAGTGTCTGCTTATAATCCCATTACAGAGGGTGGGGGAATAAATCCCATGTTTGCCTTAATGAAGTGGATGGCTTTTTGGATAAATATTCTACATGTGGAAAGACAAGTTTTCCAAAGAATAAGGTACTCATATATTTGTTATAGAAAGTGTTCCCAGATAGATAAATTCTAGGTAGGTGTGCAGGACACACCCTCAATGTGTAAGCATAACAGAGTGATTATTTGGGAGAAATCATGGTATATCACAGCCACATTTGCACAAAAGGCTAAGCCATTTGCCTTGACAGTGATCCACAGTGTTGACCCATAGCTCTTTGAAAGGGCATGGTTCAATGTGACCAGGCATGGTTTGATTGCATGTATTGCTTGCTCCTGTATCATTTTATTGGATGTCAAAATTAAAGACAGTATTCTACATCATCACCAGTAGGAGACAAATTAGCATTTTGGACAGCCACTTTAGAGGCAATTGTCAAGATCAAAGGAGATAATATTTGAAAAAAGGTTAACACAAAGCCTCGCACTGAGTACATGCTTATTAAATCTTGTTCCCTTTCCCCTTTTCCTAATGAAAACTTAAGATGTCATGTGCATGAGTATTTGACATATCACCTATGAATTGAGAATGAAAACAGTGTCTTCCACTCAGTGCCAACATACTTTGGAAAAAATGCCCACTATTTTACTGATCAGTTTGGAGAGTCTAAATTAGGGCTTCTCAAGCTCTTTGGCCTTAGGACTCCTTTACACTCTTAAAAATTACTATGGAGACTTTGTTTATGTGGGTTATACCTATCACTATTTAGCATATTAGAAATTAAAACATCTTAATGTTGTTATGATAATAGTTTTGACCTCACAGACCCTCTGAAAGGATAAAGATCCCTGAACCAGACTTTGAGAACTGCTGGTCTAAATGAACAGGAAAAAACCAACCAAACAAACAAGAGGAAAATAAATGAGGATCATTTCAAAGAACTTATATGCTACAGTTAGCATTTATATAGCTACTTAGGGTTTGCAAAGTGCTTTACAAATATGATCTTTACAAATATGAGGAAACCGAGACTGAAAGAGGTTAAGTGACTTACCCAGGGTCACACAGCTAACAAGTATCTGAGACTGGATTGGAACTGAGGTCTTCCTGACTTTAGGCCCAACATTTTGTCTGCTGAGATAGCCAAGTGACACAGGGCATACAGTGCTAGTCAGAAAGACCCGAGTTCAAGTGCTGCCCCCTGATATATTCTAGTTGTGTGATTATTGTCAAATTTCTGATTCTCAGTGCCCCAGGCCACCTCCTAAACCTGTGTTATAAAGGAATTGATGATCTGTATCATCATGGATGTTTCCATGACTGGAGTTCCCCATGAAATCAAAGGTCTTGCTTCCTACAGCTCCCTCCCCCTTTGCCCCAATTCAAGGGAAATAAATGATTCCTGGAAAGGAAGGAAGCCAGAGGAAGTTCTAATTTGTAATATTCAGGGACTGATTTCCTTTCAGACTTTGTCTTATGCTTGATGCTGTGGAGAATGATGAACTTGAGTCACTTTGAGGGTAAAAAATGAGAGCTGTGATGATACTGATATCTTAAAAAAGAGTCCCTTAGAAAACAAGGCTCATTCTGATTAAAGGGAGAAAGCCAAGACAGATTCCCTAGTGCCTCATTGCATGCCAAGCCTTCCCCGAGCCTGTGCTTGGAGAGGGGTGACTTCCCTTGTCACACACAAAGCCGATTAATTGAGCCAGAGATTCTCTTGGCTCCCTGATGGCCTTACCTTCCTCCCCTGCATAGGCCAGAATAGAGCGGGCACGCATCTGTTTCCCATCAGTTGTTTTGCCAGAACAAGTATGCGAGCAGGAGGACCACCCTGACCACGTGCTGAGCACACAGTCCTTGGGGCATGGCACTTCACAGGCCACAGGGATTGGAAAGATGGCATCTCTGCACAGCTGTCTGTCAACCTCTTCTCCTGGGGAAGCAAGGTCCAGAAAGAGTCCATTACAATTACATTAATTTTAAATGTGCAATTGAGACCAGATGGTCACAACAAATAAATTAGACATTTTTTCCCCTTTGTTATTGGACAAAACCAGAGTTGACAGATGAGTTGCCAAAGTGGGGCCCCTCCTGCTAAACATGAAATGAATGCAGATATTGCCACCAGGACCCACAGGAGGCTTGCAGACCAAATTCAGACAGGCTTTAGAGGGGTCCCTACTCTATCCCTTTTGAGATGTCTTCATATAACATATCCCAGTCTCATTTGGTGCCACCAAAAACAAATTGTGTGCTAAGGCTTACAGAAGGCATAGTAGGAAAGCCACTCCTCTCCATCTTGTGGAAAGCAGCCCTGATTTCCTCATAAATAATGAAGAGATTTACAGCACCTGCCATATGCTCTCAGGAGCCATCTCACGAGGATCTAGTTTTCAGAAATTCCATGATAAGGGCTCCCTGGGAACTCATGATGTGTGTGTGTGTGTGTGTGTGTGTGTGTTTGTGACAACTGGAATGTTTCAATCTGATTATTAAAATCAATTTTATCAGTTGAAGATGTGATATGTCAATGAGAGAAGAAGAACAGTAAAAATCCTAGGAAAATTCTGCCTAAGAACCATCTAGCAAATTTCAATTTTATTTAGTTTATATTCATTAAATACTTACTGTGCATAAGGTATTTGTGCAAAAAACCAAGTGTTTTGGGAAAAGGAGATAAAGCTGGTCTCTTCCCTCAGTGACTTTACCATCTACTCTTATAGTCATGGTCATACATAAAAACCATTTAACCCATCCGGATGTAGGGGATGGAGCGTATGGACAAATGATGCACAACACAAGTATGGGTGGATGGGCTGTGATCTACACTGATGCAGACATCACATTATAGGATTTTGGATCATTTCAATTTATTGCTGGAAGGGACCTTTGTGGTCAACAAGTCCAAAGAGGAAACTGAGGCACAGAGAGATTCTGTGATGTGTCCAGGGTCACACATCTAATAAGTATCTAAGGTAGGATTTGAATTTCAAGTCATCTTGACTTCAAGTCCTATATCTTAACCATGGACTCTGCTGCCTCTCAGTATAAACAGTGACCCACAGAAGTGTGAGCATGAACACAACAGGCAAGAAAAGGAGAGGAGCAGGGAACACTCCTGCATTCATCAATAGGAGACAGGGAGGGTAGAGTATGAAAAGATGTAAGGAAAATAGAAATCTGACTACAGTCTGAAGATGCCGATGTTTCCCTAAAACAATTGTAAATAGTCCCAATGAACTGGAGGCAAGGTTTGGTCAACTTTGCTAGGCTTATTAGTGCCGAGACAAAAAGGCTGATTTGGCAGAAACCATCCTTCTTCCAGAGATTATGCCCATAGCAGTGGCTGGCCAGGTTTTCAGTATGGAGAATAGCTGAGAAAGCATGTTGCTTGGCACATACTAAGCCCTCACAACATATCTTTTCATTCATTTCCTTACTCATTCATTCATTCATTCATCCAATCCATTCACTTACTCACTCAAGTTACCTCAAAGAGGAGACTTTAAATGAATGAACCTCATCATGGATGGTATTATTGGCAGGCTGCCCCAGGGAGCTTGGAAGCCCCTGATTGGCTGCTGGGGGGAGGTCTTTTGGGGCTGATATGGCAAACAGAAATCAAAGAGAGGAAGAGAAGTTTGAGACATCATGCCTAAGATTGTCCCGCTCATCATCAAGGATTTCCTAACTACAGGAACTCAGACAGGAACCTGGGTCTTGAGAACTGGCAGGTTTTGTATGTTCCTGGACTGGAATAAGAGCCCTCAGACCACTTCATAGCAAGACAATGGATTTTTGGCTTTAGTGGTGGAGGACATTAAGGAATGTTCTATTCCAATGTTGCTTTTGAAGTCAACAGCTCAGATGTGTCAACAATAATCATGATTAACAGCAGCATGTGAGACCCTTAAGGACAGGGACCATGGTATTTGCCATTTTTTGTATTGCTAGCACTTAACACAGTGCTTGGCACATAACAAGAGCCCAGTAAATGTTTGTTGACTGACTGATTTACATCTACATAACACTTTGAGGCTTGAGACTTATCTTTATCTATATCAAATCTTATTTAGTCCTTACAACAATTCTTGAGGTGGGTGCTGTTATTATTTCCATTGTGCAGATGAAGAAACTGAGGCTAAGAGGGCTTAAATGGCTTGCTTAGGGTCACATAGCTTATAAATGTCAGTCATGATTTGAACCCAGAATTTTATCCATTATGTTGCCTAGTTGCCATGTCTGAACCAAATGTACAGGGCATGCTAGGATTGACAGAGATCACATGATGTCATGGGGACTAACCACATTCATTTTCACATTCTGAAGGAACTCCAGAAGTGTGGAATGATTGGCTAAAATATATGGGCTTTCATTACAAACAGTGACCTAGAAGCAGTCTATTGGGTAAGGTGGACATGTTCCAAGCCAGGGACAGCATCTCTGGACAGTGCTATATACTGTGAGATGGCTATCGAGCCTGTCACTGCCTGTCGGGTCTTGAGCAGCATCAACCCTTGAAGGAGGCTTGCAGTGGCAAGTCATACTTTGGAAGTCTTTCTGCCTTTCCAGAAGAGAGGCTGGAAAGAAACAAACTTAGAATGAAAGGAAATGGAGATGCTGTCTTCCAAAGGGATAGAAAAGTGAGAGTGGGGCCAGTTTGAGAAGGAGTTGGTTGTCTGCAAAACCAATTACTCAGCCTCAGATAGAGTAGTTATCTACAGCCCCTGGAGTGTGGATTAGAGACTCGGCACCAACCTGGGCTGTGTCTCCTTCCAACTGTGGCCAACCAGACTGAAATAGAAACTAATAAGAAGCAGGCCAGCTACATCCAGATTTCATTTAGCAGGAAACAGATGGCCAAAGATGAAAAGGAATTTAATAAAGTGATCTCCTTTGTCTGTGAAGGAGGTACATGCAGGCCACACACCCTCAGCTCTCCCTAAAGGATGATGAAGCATTGAGCCAACCATACTTGCCCATACAGTCAGCCCTCTGACCAAGGGCACACACTTCAGAGATTGACATAAATTGGCAGTGCAGACCTTGGGCCACGGAATAAGGTAAAAACCACTGCCCCGTAGGGATGTAGAATCCATGCCTTTGGCATCATTAGCTCTATGTTCTCATCCACTAACTTCACATGCCATGAACTACAGCACAGAAAAATGCTCCTCAGTGTTGGTTTTTTTAAACAGCTAAACCCCTCACTCACTGCCCCCCACCCTTGACATCATGCACTAGCCTCAGCTATCAAATATGGGGTATTTAGCTTTTCTTAAGCAACAAATTACACACCAATTACCCACTGAAATGAGTATTAATACTATTTACTTCGAGACATTGTGTGGTATAATGTGTGACAACAGGTAAGTCATTTGCTGCTTGGTATTCTAGGTAATTCTCTAATGATGCTAGGTCGTAGAGAAAGTGCCCATCTGACTTTGTAGAGAGGGTTGCCTCACCTACACATTCCCCCTACTAGTGAAACCACAGGTGCAGCATATCCAGTCATCTTGCCTAAACTGCAGCCCCCTATGACCAGCTGTATGATCAGCTAGTTGTGCCATGGGCAGAGATCATCTTTTCCCCAACTACCCCTCTTTTAAACAGCCCTATTTCTGCCGAGGCACGGCCGTCATTCCACAGACCCAAATTCAAGACTCCAGAGTCCTACCCAATTCTTTCCTTTCCCACATTTGTCTCCTACATGTTGTCAGCTGCCAAGTCTTGTTGATTCTTCTTCCTTAGTACTTCTTGCACCTGTTCCCCTATTATCTCCTACACCAATAGTCCCTTGAGCCCAGTCTGAATTTCCTTTGTCTGGCTTATTACAACAGCTTCATAACTAGTTCCCTTGCCTCAAATCTCTCCCCTCTCCCATCTCTCCTCCATATAACTGCCATATTGATAGTCTTAAAGCACAGCTCCGACCATTGCCCTCGATCAAGAAGATTCAGTAGCTCCCTATTGCCTCTTGTATGAAAGGATCCTAACAGATCCTTTTCAGATGATTTTGTGTCATTTCTCCCTCAGACACACTTCTAGTCAACCTGGTCCACTTTCTGTTCTCTGTCTCACACCACTGTGCCTTTACAGAGGTTGTCTCCCATAACCAGGATGCTATCTCTCTGGGCTTTCCTTTTGGAATTTCTAGCCCTATTCGAGGCTGAGTCCAAACACCTCCTTATAAGAGGCCATTCCTGATCTCCCCAGTGCTGATGCTCTACCTCTTCTGAAATTACCTTATATTTACTGATCTGTGCATGTGATGTTTTCATACAATAAACTGTAAGATCCCTGAGGGCAGGGATTATCTCATTTTTTTATCTTTCTGGCCACAATGCTGGGCACATCACAGGCCTTCTGTGAATGCTTACTGCAATGAAGTGAACATCATACAGGAGTGTGCCAACTGACAAAGGACCTTCTTTTTGCAAAGCTAAGCTCCAAAGGCATTTTCTTTGCTCAAAATCTTGATGGTCCTAGAAATCTCTGTAGCTGCCATAACTAACTCAAATATCTTGAGCTTGGAGAATTTGGTGGAGTCTTGAAAATGCAGTGTACTTGTTGTCTACAAGGTTAATTCACTGGGAGGAGTTGGGAGGGACAGCAACTCTGCAGGCGATGGAAAATCTGGGTTTAGCTGAGTCTGGGGAAGGACTAAGGGTCTACGGTCAAGGCAGCTGAGCCCCAAACAAGGTAGGAAGTAGATGGAAGGGTCTAAATAGCCAGGAAGCTAGGCCAGCTTCTAAGCCCACATTAGAAAAATTTCAGGTTTATACTTTGTGATTCAACAAGTTTGAATGCTGGATGCCTGCTCTGTGTTGACTTACTTCACCAGAATATCAGAAAAGCCCTTTTGAAAAACCCCATTTCAGTCTTGAGGATACTCAGGGGACCTCTCACATCAAGAACATATGTTCAATGTGC